AATATAATCCACCACCCGGTTTTGCACAGCAACCCAAGCCAGCTCCACCTACACAAGATCAAGAGATGAAACAAATGCTTCAGCAGATTCTACAAGGTCAAGCAGCTGGTGCTATAGCTCTTGATAAGAAAATAGCTGAGATTCACAACAAAGTAGACTGCTCCTTCAATGATCTCAATATCAAGTTTGAGGCTCTAAACTCCAGGTTGAAATACGTGGAGAGCAAAATTGCTTCTACTTCTGTGCCTACGAATCCAGGGCAACTGCCAGGGAAAGCTATTCAGAATCAGAAAGGTCATGTTAATGCTATTCACCTTTGCAGTGGTCGAGAGCTGCAAACTCGACCTAGCATAGCTCATGTCACTGAGGACAGTGAGATTCAAGAGGGGGAGGATTCTATTCAGAATGAAACCCAAGTAGAAGACACCACTAAGCTTGACCAAGATGCTGTACCTCGTGATCAAGTCCAGAGCCCCCAGATCAAAGAACCAGTTGTTGATAAGAGTAAGAAGAAAGCTTTCGTTCCACCACCTTACAAGCCCAAAATACCATTCCCAGGAAGATTCAAGAGGGATATCATTGAGAAGTACAGAGCCATGTTTGCTAAACACATCAAGGAGATTGAATTAAGGATGCCTCTCATTGATGCTTTCATGCTGATTCCGGATTCTCACAAGTACTTCAAAGACATGGTAATGGAGAGAATTAAGGAAGTGCAAGGGATGGAGAGTCATGAGGGTAGTGAAATCATCCAAACGAAGATTATTCCCAAGAAATTGGGAGATCCTGGTTCGTTTACTCTACCTTGCTCTCTAGGCACTTTAGCCTTCAGTAACTGCCTCTGCGATCTAGGTGCTTTTAAAAGTCTCATGCCTCTCTCCGTGGCCAAGAGACTGGGTTTCAGCAAGTATAAACCTTGCAACATCTCCTTGATCCTGGCTGATGAGTCTGTCAGATTTCCTCATGGGTTATTAGAAGATTTGCCTATTAAGATTGGAAATGCTGAAATCCCTACAGACTTCATAGTGCTAGAAATGGATGAACCAAAAGATCCTTTAATCTTAGGAAGGCCCTTCTTAGCCACTGCTGGAGCTGTCATTGATGTTAAGAATGGGAAGATTGATCTTAATCTGGGAAATGATTTCACAATGAAGTTTGACATCAATGATGCCACGAGGAAGCCAACAATTGAAGGACAGACCTTCGTAGTTAAGGTAATGGATTGCTTAGCTGATGAACAGCTAGAGGAGGTTGCTGAGGAAGATCACCAACAAACTTCTTTGACTAAGAGTGGTGAAGCAGGATATCTTCTCACTGAAACTTTGAGCTGTGGTAAGTCACTAGATTCACACAAGGAAGTAGTAGGGTCAGAGGTCTTTAAAGGCTTGATTGGGTCAAAAACAGTGGTTAAGACAGCATATGAAGCAAGCTCAACACATGCTCAACCAGCTGACTTGAGTATACATTTGAGCAAGCCTACAACTCGTCTGGAGAACTCTAGCTCGACCAAACATCGTGATAAGCTGCTAGAGTCTAGCAATTCTGCTCCAGATGGCTGGTTAGAACTCAAGGAGAGGTCCAAATGGCAGGATAAAGCCATAAGGGAGCTGACAGGCACTGTGAGAGAGCTGAAGGATCAAATCACAAAGCTCCATGGGATAGCCAACCAAGTACCACTCCAAATCAAGGACATCCCAAATGATGAAGCGTCTACTCTGGTCAGCGCAAAGGGGAGTGAATTCACTTCAGAATGGTCTATAGCAGAAGATTATCCAGTTGATCAACAAGAAGCTTACTATGAGAAAAGGGCCATTGAGTACTCAACTGCAGATTTGTCAAGAGAGCCTGCTAAGCCAGATGATTCATCCACCTGCAGAACAGATGAGACCTCATTTGCTCTCTACAATCCACCCTAAGCTTATTCACTGTGAGAAGTCAAGCTAAAGACTTTAAACAAGCTCACTTGGGAGGAAGTTCCATGTCTATCCTTGTGAATATTAGTTATTTCCTTGTTATTTTTGATGTTTTTGCTTAAGTGTCTCAGGATATAGCGTTTTAAGGAAGCCAAGGCGCAAAACAGAATGAGTTGCCTTGTCTCGATGTGCCCTACTCGACTACAAGTCGAGCTTGCCCCTTGGAATGACTCCAAGCAGAAAAATGAAGCCTACTCGACGTACCTGCTCGATGAGACGTCGAGTTAGCCCATGAAGCCCACCAGTACCAGGTCAATCACCTCCTTCTTCACCCATCCATGAGGTAACAACTCCAATTCACCATTGTATATACCACATTTCATTTTGTTTCTCTGTTGGTTTGCCCTGAGTACTCTCTTCCAAATGCTTGTTACACAGAGGACTGTGTAATTTAAGTTTGGGGGAGGGCTCAGGGAGTATTTGACTTTGTGTTTTGTTTTCTTATCTCAAATTTTGCATCATTGCATCTAAGGCATAGAAAAACCATAAAAATTTGAAATTTTTCGAAAATGATTTCACAAAAACAGAGTGTTCATATAGCTTGCATTGTCATTTCAGGATTGTTTTAGTATGCTTTCACTTAGGGCTGTTGCATCATGCATTTGCATCGGAGATTATGATGATTATAACCTTGTAAATATGCCTATTCACTAAGTAGAACTCAGTGCCCTGGTTGTTAGTTCTCTAATGCATAATCGACTGAACTTGAAGTAAGACCGCACCATCTTTTGAATTCAACGCTTGACTTTCTTGTTTTTAGTCGAATCTCGCTTTTATCTGATGCCATTCCCTATCTATTTGAACTTTAATTTTGACTTATAATTATCATGCTGTGCATTGTGCTATGAACTCATGGATACCTTAAAATACTTGGACTTTCTTTTACCTTTTGATCACTCTTGCTAGTCCAAGTAGCTGACTCCCATCTTTGGAGCAGTTATTTCCCACCCTTAGCCTTAACCTTCTTTCAAGCCATGTATCATTTGTGTGTGAATGTGAGGCCTTATTCCGATTGAGCTTGGTAGAAAGTGTTAGGTCTGTAACGACAAGGATAGTCTCTCATGTAGTTCTGGTTCACGTTATCTGGACCAGATAGGACTAGGTGGGTGCTTAATTCTGGGTTTGGGTTGTGTTTAAAAGAAAGAAAAGGTTGTGTTCATCATTGAAAGAAAAGGAAAGGGAAAAGAGTTCTTAGGAGAAGTAGCTAAAGTAAGAAAAGTCTAGTAAAGGATTTGGGAATGTTAAAGGAAAGAAAAGGGTTCTGTAATAGCTTAAAGAGAAAGGGTAAAAAGCCTTATGTTATGAAAAGAAAGAAAAGGGAACCCTAGTTGTTAAAGTATCCTAATCCGCTAGACAGAGCAAAGTAAGAAAGCTTCTCCTAGGATAGAAAAGCAAAGAAAAGAAAGGAATGATGTGAGTAAAAGTCTGTAAATGCTTTGAGTGCAAAAGGGTAGAGTTAAGTTCATGTTCTGGGATTAGAAATAGGACCTCCATTTGGGTTGATATTGGTTACATTCTGGGTAGATGGGGTTCTATCCTTGTATGCATAACTTGATACTCACCTTTAGCATTCTACTAAAGCTCAATCATTCTTGAGAGATCCCCCGTTGCGATTTAAACCAGATCTTTAAGGGACCATCTTTGTCTCTAAACCTTTACCCTTAAGCCAAATGTGTTCATATCCATTGCATAGTATGATTCACGGTTCCCACTTAATAAATGTTAAAGGGAATGTGCAGATTTGAATGCTTGATTTGATTAAGGCAGAGGTTAGGTTGAGATGTGAAGGAGATGGCTAATGTTTTTAAGTAAGGATCAGTCAACCTTGCATTCTAGAATTAGCAACCTGGACATTGAATTCACTTGCTCTATATGCATGTTTTGGTTCTGAGTCTCCACTTTCAAACCTCTTCTCCAGCTTTGTTCTATTTGTTTGCTTGAGGGCAAGCAAGATCTAAGTTTGGGGGAGTTGATATCTCTGTATTTTACCTCTTTTTAGCACACATTTCTTATGCATTTAGCTTAGTTTCCTCTCTGTTTCACTGCATTAATAGTCCTTTTTCATAAGATTTTCATCACTTAGTACGATTTGCATTGCATGGCATAGCATGTTGCATATTGGATGAGTTTTAGGTACTTTGGAGCTTACTTGGGACTTAATGGAGCAAGGAGGAACCAACACGACCTTTGTGCTAGACTTGGGATCGAATTGGAGAGGATTGAAGTCGTTCAAGATCACCTGGGAGCAGTCTCGACCAGACAGGCTCGACGTCACGTCGAGATGGACGCCAAGAAGCAGCCTGGGAGCAGTCTCGACCAGACAGGCTCGACGTCACGTCGAGATGGACGCCAAGAAGCAGCCTGGAGCAGTCTCGACGTGGCAGGCTCGACGACACGTCGAGATGGACTCCACCGACTCTCTATTTTGTCCTGTAGCCAATTAGGGCAACCTAGTATTTCCTATAAATAGGGGTACATGCTATTGTCCAGGGGATATCCATATTACCCAGCAGATATTCTTCTTTTCTCTCATAAACCCTAGTTTTTGTAATCGTTTTTCCTGTTGATCCTTTGAGTTTTTGAATTTCGTTTCTTCATCAAAGTTGTAGATCTGCCTCTTATCTATAACATACTTGCTTTTTAATGATTTCTGGGTTTGAAACGTTTTCTGGGTTTTTATGCATGATGTTCTTCAGTGTTCTTGAGTAGTGGATTAGGGTTCTTGAGGATGGGATAGATTAGGTGTGGAATCCTTAGTATATTTAGGTGGTTAAGTGTAGAATTGCTTGATTTCCCTTCTGGTTTAGTAGATCTTAATGCTATTTTCTCTCTGATCAATTGGAAGTTGATCTCAGACATTTCCACACCCAAAAGGTGTTTGATGAAATGTCTGAACCAACTATTCCAGAGATTTGCATACTCTAGCCTAAGAGATTGGATGTTTAGAATGCTTATTGACTCTATTAGATTGAATCTTAATGCCTGCTAGGTTATATTTCTTCAATGAGAATTGAGTATGAAAGTGATTTAGCTTGAGAATCTCTGTCACGAGAGTGGATTGATTTGTATTCGAATCTATTGTCTAGGGATAGCTTGATTGAGTTTGTTAACCACCTAGGTAGACTAAGGAGACTGCCATAATCGATTACCCCATTCCTCAGGACCTTTTATCTCTATTGATTGTTTAAATCTTGTTTCTGTTAGTCTCTGTTGACCATCTCGACCTGTTAGGCCTAGATCGTTTCTCTGCATTGTTAGGTTGCTAGTTTCTTTTCCAAAGCTTATGCATGATAGTTTCTGGTCTTTAGTTTACTTCTTATTCTTGTTCACTTGCTGTTTAGTTCTCTTTTTATGCTTTTAAATCCGGTATTTGCATGTTAAATTGGTTGCTTAGGATCAATAGAAACACACAAAACCCTTTCACAATTGGCTTGACTTATTTGCTTTCTGTTTCATATCTTGAATGCTTGCAGTCACACTGAGATTGGATTGATAACCTAATATACTACAATGGCATGTGTATTAGGGATTGATACTTGTTAGATAAAGTGAAATCTTACTATCAATATCCATATGCCTTGCATTGAAGATATGACTTCTAGTTTGCATACTCCCTTTCTCATCGATGAATGCTATGATTTGATATGTGAGTCTCAACGTCTAGACATTTTAAGAGCAGAAAACGTTTCTAGGGATTACCATGAATTATGTTTTGATATTGAATATCATTGTGCTTTGAATGTTCATGATCTCGAGTTTAAGTTTTCAATGCCTGAATTGTCTAGATCCCTTCTTGAAGAATCTTACCTAGGAGTTGTGCTTGATATTGATAAGATTTTGCATGAGACTGAGAACACCGAGGTAGATTATATGGATGGAGATGTTGTGCTATATGAGATTAATGGGGATGAAGTTGATTATTTTGTTAAAACTTCGTTTAAACCTGAAATTGACTTTATTTTCCCATTAGAACCAACCGGATCTCATAAGCTAAAGTAGTGTTTTTCCGTTTAAAAGCTTCAAAACCGTAAACTCATAAGACTTTGGCCACACCCACAAAGATTTGAGAAGCAATAAGAAGCTTGGTTAGTGTTTTTGGAGTCAAATATGACTACATCTCGCGTTTATGATTGGGTATAAGATCTAGAACCGCAGCCGGATCTCATAAGCTAAAGTAGTGGTTTTCCGTTTAGAAGCTTCAAACCGAAAACTCATAAGACTTTGGCCACACCCACAAAGATTTGAGAAGCAATAAGAATCTTGGTTAGTGTTTTTGGAGTCAAATATGACTAGATCTCGTGTTTATGATTTGGTATAAGAACTAGAACCGCAATCGGATCCCAAAAGCTAAAGTAGTGTTTTTCCGTTTACAAGCTCCAAAACCGAAAACTCATAGGACTTTGGCCACACCCACAAAGATTTTAGAAGCAATAAGAATCTTGGTTAGTGTTTTTGGAGTCATATATGACTAGATCTCGTGTTTATGATTGGGTATAAGAACTAGAACCGCAATCGGATCCCAAAAGCTAAAGTAGTGTTTTTCTGTTTAGAAGCTCCAAAACCGAAAACTCATAGGACTTTGGCCACACCCACAAAGATTTTAGAAGCAATAAGAAGATTGGTTAGTGTTTTTGGAGTCAAATATGACTAGATCTCGTGTTTAAGATTGGGTATGAGAACTAGAACCGCAACCGGATCCCGTAAACTAAAGTAGTGTTTTTCCATTTAGAAGCTCCAAAACCGAAAACTCATAAGACTTCGGTCGCACCCACAAAGATTTGAGAAGCAATAAGAAGTTTGGTTAGTGTTTTTGGAGTAAAATATGACTAGATCTCGTGTTTATGATTGGGTATAAGAACGAGAACCGCAACCGGATCCCAAAAGCTAAAGTAGTGTTTTTCCGTGTAGAAGCTCCAAAACCGAAAACTCATAGGACTGTGGCCACACCCACAAAGATTTTAGAAGCAATAAGAAGCTTGGTTAGTGTTTCTGGACTCAAATATGACTAGATCTCGTGTTTATGATTGGGTATAAGATCTAGAACCGTTTTGGATCCTACAAGATAAAGTAGTGTTTTTCCGTTTAGAAGCTCCAAAACCGAAAACTAATAGGACTTTGGCCACACCCACAAAGATTTGAGTAGAAATAAGAAGCTTGGTTAGTGTTTTTGGAGTCAAATATGACTAGATCTCGTGTTTATGATTGGGTATAAGAACTAGAACCAAACGGATCCCGTAAGGTAAAGTAGTGTTTTTCAGTTTAGAATCTTCAAAATAGAAAACTCATAATTCTTTGGCCACACCCACAAAGATTTGAGAAGCAATAAGAATCTTGGTTAGTGTTTTTGGAGTCAAATATGACTAGATCTCGTGTTTATGATTGGGTATAAGAACTAGAACCGCAATCGGATCCCAAAAGCTAAAGTAGTGTTTTTCCGTTTACAAGCTCCAAAACCGAAAACTCATAGGACTTTGGCCACACCCACAAAGATTTTAGAAGCAATAAGAAGCTTGGTTAGTGTTTTTGGAGTCAATATGACTAGATCTCGCGTTTATGATTGGGTATAAGATCTAGAACCGCAACCGGATCTCATAAGCTAAAGTAGTGTTTTTCCGTTTAAAAGCTTCAAAACCGTAAACTCATAAGACTTCGGCCACACCCACAAAGATTTAAGAAACAATAAGAAGCTTGGTTAGTGTTTTTGGAGTCAAATATGACTAGATCTCGCGTTTATGATTGGGTATAAGATCTGAAACCGCAGCCGGATCTCATAAGCTAAAGTAGTGTTTTTCCGTTTAGAAGCTTCAAAACCGAAAACTCATAAGACTTTGGCCACACCCACAAAGATTTGAGAAGCAATAAGAATCTTGGTTAGTGTTTTTGGAGTCAAATATGACTAGATCTCGTGTTTATGATTTGGTATAAGAACTAGAACCGCAATCGGATCCCAAAAGCTAAAGTAGTGTTTTTCCGTTTACAAGCTCCAAAACCGAAAACTCATAGGACTTTGGCCACACCCACAAAGATTTTAGAAGCAATAAGAATCTTGGTTAGTGTTTTTGGAGTCATATATGACTAGATCTCGTGTTTATGATTGGGTATAAGAACTAGAACCGCAATCGGATCCCAAAAGCTAAAGTAGTGTTTTTCTGTTTAGAAGCTCCAAAACCGAAAACTCATAGGACTTTGGCCACACCCACAAAGATTTTAGAAGCAATAAGAAGATTGGTTAGTGTTTTTGGAGTCAAATATGACTAGATCTCGTGTTTAAGATTGGGTATGAGAACTAGAACCGCAACCGGATCCCGTAAACTAAAGTAGTGTTTTTCCATTTAGAAGCTCCAAAACCGAAAACTCATAAGACTTCGGTCGCACCCACAAAGATTTGAGAAGCAATAAGAAGTTTGGTTAGTGTTTTTGGAGTAAAATATGACTAGATCTCGTGTTTATGATTGGGTATAAGAACGAGAACCGCAACCGGATCCCAAAAGCTAAAGTAGTGTTTTTCCGTGTAGAAGCTCCAAAACCGAAAACTCATAGGACTGTGGCCACACCCACAAAGATTTTAGAAGCAATAAGAAGCTTGGTTAGTGTTTCTGGACTCAAATATGACTAGATCTCGTGTTTATGATTGGGTATAAGATCTAGAACCGTTTTGGATCCCACAAGATAAAGTAGTGTTTTTCCGTTTAGAAGCTCCAAAACCGAAAACTCATAGGACTTTGGCCACACCCACAAAGATTTGAGTAGAAATAAGAAGCTTGGTTAGTGTTTTTGGAGTCAAATATGACTAGATCTCGTGTTTATGATTGGGTATAAGAACTAGAACCAAACGGATCCCGTAAGGTAAAGTAGTGTTTTTCAGTTTAGAATCTTCAAAATAGAAAACTCATAATTCTTTGGCCACACCCACAAAGATTTGAGAAGCAATAAGAATCTTGGTTAGTGTTTTTGGAGTCAAATATGACTAGATCTCGTGTTTATGATTGGGTATAAGAACTAGAACCGCAATCGGATCCCAAAAGCTAAAGTAGTGTTTTTCCGTTTACAAGCTCCAAAACCGAAAACTCATAGGACTTTGGCCACACCCACAAAGATTTTAGAAGCAATAAGAAGCTTGGTTAGTGTTTTTGGAGTCAATATGACTAGATCTCGCGTTTATGATTGGGTATAAGATCTAGAACCGCAACCGGATCTCATAAGCTAAAGTAGTGTTTTTCCGTTTAAAAGCTTCAAAACCGTAAACTCATAAGACTTCGGCCACCCCCGCCAAGATTTAAGAAACAATAAGAAGCTTGGTTAGTGTTTTTGGAGTCAAATATGACTAGATCTCGCGTTTATGATTGGGTATAAGATCTAAAACCGCAACCGGATCTCATAAGCTAAAGTGTTTTTCCGTTTAGAAGCTTCAAAA